CGTGAGCCAGATTATCCATTCTCTGAAGATGGGTAGACGAGACAACTACCCGTAACGTCAGGCTTGTAATAAACCTCCCCGGTGAACGCTCTTCTTTCTTCTGAGGGATAACTATCTCTGTAAGAAAGAAGTCATCTACAAGATCACATGCGAAACCTTTGATACTGTATCCTATGGCCGAACAGGAAGGTCAGCCTCCACACGCATCACGAGTACGAACTAGCAGTGACAATTTATCCGAAGGTGCTATGCACAGCCTTGATAGAGGACACAAGTTTGCATGGAACAAAACAGGCATAGTCGGAGTTTGCCCCTCCCAAAAAGTCTGAGAAGTTCTTGCGGTCATGCACCCCGATGATTCATGCCTAAAACGACATATAAAGCTGGGTGGAATGTACAAAAATCTCAAAGAAAGACGGAAGAGGCGACAGCCGAATAACAAGAACTAAGGTTTTACCGCAACACTCAATAATGCTTCATGCTCGGTAACTTGTAATTTTACACCCGGACTGACGTAAATTACAGTTGCCAATTAGCAATAAGGCTATTACGACAATTAATTTGTTCACCATGGATTGAGGCAAATTGCATCTGCAAATTAGAGCCCACACCGGATGACTACATAATTGTACTAGCACTTTTGAAATTTTAATTGTTCTTTGCACATCTTCTGAAGTCTAACGACGACTTGGGGATCCAACGTCGTAAATTTACTCAGTAAAGTTACCTTATTGTCCTTAAGAACGCCTTCCTTCAAATTTCATTTCTTCGGATCTCCGCCTTCCAGTTAGCAGCAGTGGACGGGATGCAAACACTGGACCCTAAAACGAACGAGCAGAGTGTGGGGAACCTAATCCCATAACTTCGCAAAGGCGAGCTATGGAATATACCTAACTAAGTGCCGGTAACTTGTAAGAGGACTGTAAAGGTGGATACTCTGTTAGCGTATATGCCTATCTCCTAAACAGACAAATGATGTGGTAAGCATTGTTAGTTGCAGGGATGCATCCTG